GTTCCGCGTGTGGAACGGCGCAGACGGGGTGCTGGAGGCCGAGCCACGCCGCGCGCCTGCGGGCCAGCGGGTAACGGGAGCCGGGGCTCTCGCAGAGCGGCCTGGGCCGGAACGCGCCTTGCGGCAGGTGCCAGCTCTCGGCTGGGCCCCCGGGGGACGCGGGCGCGCACCCCTTCCTGCAGACAGGGGCTCCCACTACGAGCACGCGCGAGGGGCACGGCCGGGCGCTCCCCGCGCCCATCGCGGGCTCGAAATGCGGCCCTGCGCCTTTAAACCCGGAGTGCGTCACGAGCCCCGCCCCGGAGCAACGCGCGCGGCGCGGGGGCGTGGGCGCCCCGCCATTGGCCGGGCCGCGCCGTGTTTTGGAACGTGTGTGCGGGAGCGAGCGCTCCGATTGGAGCGAGGGCCTGCCTGTCTGCGTGCCTGGGGGCGGGCGGCCGCCGGGCCTCGGCGTTCTGTTCCCGGGTCCTCCGCGTTCCCCTTCCAGGAGGGTCCAGCCGCGAGTCCCGCGGGAGCAGAGCGCCCCGCGCCGGTGCGTGCCGCCGGGACGGAGGTATGGCCCAGAGGGCGGCGAGGCGGACCCGGGTCCCCAGCCCCGCGCGTGGCCCGCGTCCGGGACGCGGTTCGGGGGCGTGGCCCGCGGTCACCCCTGGAGGGTGTGGGGGACTTCGGGTCCGAGGCCCGGGTTCGAGTCCAGCCTGGCCCTGCCAGTTTGCGGCGCTGCCCTTGCTTCCCAGGGCGTCGGTGACTGCCCGCGGTGCGGTCGCGCCCCGCGCGGCTGTGGGCCGCCGCCGCCTGCTCGGCCTGGGTCAGGGCCGCGACTTTGGCCGAGGAGCGAGCACGGGCGGCGTCCGGGACGGGTTGCCTAGAGTGAGGTTATTTTTAAACCACGGCCCTCCCGCCTGCCGGAGTGGGAAGGCCGCGGCGGGGGGCCTGTGCGGCCCCGTCAGGGCCTGGCTGGGCCCACGCTAGACAGGTGCTGGAGTTAAAAGCGCTTCACGGTTTGCGAAACGGATTCCGGGTCCCGCCGGGAGCGCGGCCAGTGCTGGCCCCCGTGCCGCGGATGAGGAGGCAGAGCCCGGCTGCGGGGCCCGGGGGGCAGCCGGCCGGCCCGCGACCTCGCGGGCCCCAGAGCGGCGTCTTATTTTTAGTTTGCCCCCTCCAGACAGGTGTCAGGCTTAGTCACGCAGTGCCTCAGGCCGCAGCCACTCCAGGCATCTTGTCCCTTGGCAGCGGGGAGGGCAGAAGCCCTTGGCGCCCCGGCGGGCGGTGACCTTGTAGTCGGTGGACGGGCCCCGGGGGATTCCCCTCCACGCTCCGAGCGCCTGGCCCCGCCGGCCCACACTGAGGGACTGCGCCCTTCTGAGTGTTCCTCGCTGCTCCCAAGGCGCTTTTACAGGTGAGCACGCGGGCCTGGCTTCAGGTCCTCGCCTCCTCGCTGTGGCTTGCGCTTCCAGCGGCGGAGGACACTGCTCTAGCACTGTCCCAGGCCCGAGAGGCCCGGGAAGCCCTCTGGGACTGCATCTTCAGGGGTGCCTGCTTGCCACCCTGGCGGTGGGGCCTTCGGCCTTGACTTGCACGTACCCACGGCAGGAGGCTCCCACCTTCCGAAGCAGCCTGGGTCATCCCTCTCGCCTGTCCTGTGACTTCATAGTTCTGCCACTGATAGTCTTCCTGCACTTCTTACCAAAGATCTGAGAGCTCCCTAGAAGAGGCTGTCTGGGACCCCAAATTGCAGGACTTCTCTGGGTTTGGGGTTGCTCCTGGGAGAATATCAGAGCGGGCTCCTGTGCCCTGGGTTGGTTAGGAGCCTGAAGGCCTTGTCGTCCTATGGCCTGGGGAGGATCGCTTGGGTTCTGGGCATGGTGAGGGTCTGGAGCCTTTGTGGTCTCGGGTCTGAGACTTCACCGCTTGCTTTGTGACTTGGCAGCTTCCACCCTTGTAAAGTAGGGGTGATGATAACACGCATCTCACGGACTGACCCGGTGATATCAGAGGTCTTGTACAGGCCTTGAAATATGCTCCCCTCTCTGACCTGCCACAGGCCCAGGCTCTTTCTGTATGAGCTCCTTTTTGCAGGGCCGGGTTTGCAGGTTTCAGGGAGAAAGCTTGACAGCTCCTCAGTCTCACCTGGAAAGAAATCCTTTTAGTGTCCCCTTACGAGAAATTTCCAGGAAGCCAACCAAGAGGCACAGCCCTCAGTCATCCTAGAGCACCTGCCTGTGCCAGCCTGGCTCCCCCACCCTCACCCGCCAACTCTGCTGTCTCTCTTGCAGGCAGACCATGGCCGAGTTCTCCCAGAAGCGGGGAAAGCAGCGCAGTGAGGAAGGCCTGGGCAGCGCGGTGGACTTCCTCTTGGCCAACGCCCGTCTGGTGCTGGGCGTGGGTGGGGCTGCTGTGCTGGGCATTGCCACCCTGGCTGTGAAGCGGGTAAGGCCAGGCTGGGTGGGGCCTGCCTGAGGCTTCCAGAATAGGAGAGGGCTGGGCCCTGTAGAGGGGCCCCAGGAGGGGCAGTGGGGCTTCCTAAGGCTGCCCGTGGAGCCTAGGATTCCTGTTTCTCCACCCCGGCACTCTGGTTTGCTTTGCCCCCAAGCTTTGCCATGGCTGCCCAGGCATCAGGTGCTCTGGTTGTGTCACTTTGCCTACAGCTTATTGACAGGGCCACTAGCTCTCAGGATGAGGATGACACCAAGGGAGACAGCTGGAAGGAACTGAGTCTGCTCAAGGCCACTCCACAGCAGCAGCCCCGGCCCCCACCCGCTGCCCTCAGTCAGCCTGTATCGCGCCTGGACCCCTCACCCTCCGGTCCAGGTGAGCAGCAGCCCTTCCTTCTGATGTGGGTGGGGCCGTCCAGGCTCTGCAGCTGACTTCTTGCAGCCCCACAGGAGTGCCTGCTCCTCCCTGGCCTGTGGGCTCCTCGTGTGTTTAAATGGGTATTTTGTTTTGTTTTGCTTTGGTGCTGGGGACGGTACTCAAGTCTCACGCGTGCTAGGCAGCTTCTCCACCATGGAGCCGTAGCCCTCGCTCTAGCATCAGGTTGTTGTCCTCTTCCTACCCAAGTAAGGTGGATAGCCGCCAGTGGGAAGACTGAGGCCTGGAGAGGGCAGGATTTCCCCCCTCTGCATGAAGCTGTTTGAGCTGTGGGGCCAGGGTGTCGGGACCCTGAGCCAGTGAGACTTTGTCGTCAAGCACTCACTGTTGCAGGACCTGCACTCAGGGCTTTGGTCGTGGCCGTTCTGGGTGAGGAACAAGGGTAAGAGCTTTTGCTTAGCTGGCAGTCAGCCTCTTTCGTTGTCGTGGAGCATTGTCACACTCCCCTGGCCCTTCACTCCGCAGAGGGACCTACAAACACGGATCCGCAGACGCTACCTCAGCTCATCTCCCCAGCGCCGCTGTGTCTGACGTTCCAGGAGAAGCTGCTGGCATTCGAGCGGGACCACGTGGTTATCCCAGCGGCTAACGTAGCTTTGGCCAAACAGCTGGCTGGTGACATTGCCCTGGAGCTGCAGGCCTACTTGAGGAACAAATTCCCAGAACTGCCCTTTGGGGCGCTCGTGCCTGGAGGGCCCCTCTACGAGGGCCTGCAGGCTGGGACCACAGAGCATGTGCGCCTCCTGGCACCGCTGGTGCTAGAGCCGGGGCTGTGGAGTCTGGTGCCTGGAGTGGACACTGTGGCCCAGGACCCTCGTTGCTGGGCCGTGCGCAGGACTCAGCTTGAGTTCCACCCACGTGGGAGCAGCCCTTGGGACCGCTTCCTGGTTGGGGGCTACCTCTCCCCTCGAGTGCTGCTGGAGCTGCTCCGCAAAGCCCTGGGCGCCTCAGTCAATTGGCCGGCCATCGGCGGCCTGCTCGGGTGCCTGATCAGGCCCAGCATGGCCTCGGAGGAGCTGCTGCTGGAGGTGCAGCACGAGCGCCTGGAACTCACCATGATCCTGCTCGTGGCGGTCACTGGGGCCAACAAGGACAACCGTCTCCTTCTGGCCTGGCCCCTGGAGGGGCTGGCGGGGAACCTGTGGCTTCAGGATTTGTATCCGCTGGAGGCTGCCAGGCTGCAGGTCCTCGATGACCATGATGCTGGCACTCGCCGGAGGCTGCTGCTGCTGCTGTGCGGTGTCTGCCATCGCCACCCAGCTCTAGGGCGCCTGGGCCGAGGCCACCTGACTCAGGTGGTGCTGCATCTGGGGGAGGAGGAAGTGGACTGGACCGAAGAGGCCTTGGGCGAGCGCTTTCTGCAGGCCCTGGAGTTGCTCATTGGCAGCTTGGAGCAGGCCAGCCTGCCCTGCCACTTTGACTCCAATGTGAACCTCCTCGGGGGCTTGCGGGAGGAAGAGGTTGATGACGTAGGTTATGCGCTGTACAGTGGTCTCCAGGCACCCGAGGGGCTGCTCTAGATAGGTGGAAACCGGGTGGCCAGCATGGTTCTGATGCCAAGGGGAGTCCCCCCCGACGCCCCAGGGAATTGCAGAGTGGGTATTTGCTTGCGTGTAGCCAGAACAAAGGCGTGTACCTTGCCTCAGTCCATGGCGAGGGGCCTGTGTGGGCTGTAGCCTCGCGGATCCCTGATCTTGGAGAGCTCGGGCTGCTGTCACCTAAGTGCGGCTGGTCTGCCCTCTGCAGCTTGAAGCACCAGCTCCTCAGTGTGGGGCCCCTTTAGCCCTCTGGGGCCAACCCAGGATTTGGGCTCGGTTCATCATCACCAGCAATGAGTCCACTGAGAACATGGCTTCTGCCACCCCAGGCCAGGTAAAGTCCGCTCCATTTTTTTGCCAAGAGGGAAATTTACTGCTTGCTTGGGGTGCCAGCTCAAGGCACCCTGGAGGCGCAGAGTGCCTGATCGTTTAAATACGCCTTTGTTCCATCCTTGGGGGCTCGTGTCACCTTAGATCTGGAAGGGCAGCATTTTGCTATTGAAGGTTGATGTCCTGAGGTTGTCTGTGTGTTTGATCTGTGTTCGAATTCTGCAGCTCTGGAGCAGAAGCTCCATTTGAACTGCTGCCCACCTTACACCTCAGGGAAGGCCCCTTTCCTCCAGCGGGGTGAGTTTCCTCTTCAGGCTGCAGGGACCCTGGGGAGAGCCCTTTGCTCAGGGCTGCTTGCTGCTCTGGTGCCCTGAAGAGTGGAGTGTGTGTCCCACCTGGTCCCTAGAGGCTTAGGGTGTGGGGTTGGCCTCCTGCCTCTGCAAGTGCCAGATGAACTGTTCAGCGAGTGTCCTTCCTCCTGCTCTGTAGCTGCCCGAGGTAGGTGCGGCTGGAGGAGGGCAGTCTCCTTCCTTTGCAGGGGCACCGCCCATCCCGGTACCCCTTCTGCTGAAACAAAGCTATGCCTTGAACGTGAACAAAAATAAAAGGAAAAACTTCGCTCACATGTGTGACTTGCTGGGGACAGCGTCCTGCACTCACAGGCTGCTATCTGGAGCTGAGTCCTGTGGCTTGACCTGGAGGACTTGAGCTCAACTTGAAAATGGTAGGGTTTATTTTAAAAAGTAGTGCTTAGGGGCCAAGCATGGTGGTGTATGCTGGTAATCCCAGCACTTGGTTAGGTGAGGCAAGAGGATTGCTGAAAGTTCGAGGCCAGCGTGGGCTACATAGTCAGTTCAAGGCCAGTCTGAACTACCTAGCAAGACCTGTCTCAAAAAACAAAACAACAAAAAGCCAGGTGTGGTGATACATGCCTGTAGTCCCAGGACTTGGGAGGCTGAGGCAGGAGTGTCACTGTAAATTTGAGGCCAGCCTGAACTACATAGTGAGACTCTGTCTCAAAAAAACCAAAACCAAGCGCTAGGGATATCGCTCAGCAGCATAGCACCTGCCTGGCTAGCACAAGGTCCTGAGTTCAGATTCCTAGTACCAGAAATGAGAAGAATTGATTTGGGCCAGGGATATAGCTCAGTGATACTGCGCCTACCTGGCAAGCACAAGGTCCTGAGTTTGTGGCACCAAAAAAAACCCCCAAACCAAACAAAAAAGTAGTGTCTGTTTAGGCTGCTATAACAAAGTACCACAGACTGGATGGCTTATAAATAACAGATTTACTTAATTTTGGAGCTGGGAGTCAGGTCAAAGTACCAACAGTCTGTGTGGTGAGGGCCCATGTCCTGGTTCTCCGACGTCAGCGAGCCGCGGCTTCACATGGTGGAAGTAAAGGACGTCCTCGGTGCCTCTTCTATGGGAGCACTAAGCCAGGCACGTGGGCGGTACCCTCATGACCTGGTCACCGCCCCAAAGCCACTTCCTCATTCCTTCTCCTCAGCCTCAGACCTCAACACCCACGTACTTTTTTGTTTGTTTTTGTTTTTTTCCGGTACCGGGAATTAAACTCAAGACCTCGCGCTTGCCAGGTAAGTGCTGTGCCGCTGAGCTAAGTCCCCAGCCCCAACACCCACGTTTTAAGTGGACACAAACGTTGGGTCCAGAACAGGTCGGCTGTCTGAAGAGGAGCCCTACGAGTGTCTTGGTGTGCAGTCTCAGCAGCGGCAGGATGCGCGCCCGAGTTACTTTTCCTTCCCAGGCCCAGCAGCGCATTCCGACAGCGCTTTAGCCGCGACCGCAAGTCCGCAGACCCTGTTTCCTCCACCTCCCGGCCGCCTCCTATCCCCACAAGTGGGGCTGAGCAGCTGTGAGGCCGGCTCGTCTTGACGTCCGCAGGAGCTGAGCTGGCCTCACTTCTGCCCCACAGAGGACAGCTGAGGCTTGGGGAGGACTTTGGCCCACCTGTGCGGGGCTGTCTCCCCGAGACACGCGCCATGGCGTCCTGTGTCTGGTCCCCTGGAGCTGTTCCGAGCAGACCTCCGCCTCCGGCTGAGTACAGGACCGCAGGACACAGGGCCGTGCTGAGGGTGGGAGGCTGGCGCGGCCGAGTGAGGAACGGCAGTTACTAGTTAGGGAGGGGCGGCAAGGGAGCAGCTGGGGACGGCGCCCGGGTCTCGGCCCTCTGTACGACGGGCAGACCTTCCTGGGTAGCTGTGGGGACTGCCTGCTCGGGCAGTGCGAGGCTCCTGCCTGGCATGAGGACAGCGGCCCTGTGATGAGCTTGTTCGGCCTTGCTGCCTCCTACCCTACGCCCACGTCCCCAGGCTCCTCGCGGCAGGGCCCTCCCAGCTGCCAGCTGCGCCCCCGGCTCACACCGCCCTCGCTCTGGGAAGGGGCTGACGGAAGACCGGGGGCAGCTACCGGAAGTCAGCTCCGTCCTGCTGTGGCCTGGGGGCGGAACCCAGGGCCGCGCGCGTCCAGGCGGGCACTGTGCTGCGGAGCGCACACCAGGCGTGAGCTCTGCTTGGAGCCCGCGCATCTGGGCGTGGCGGCCGCTCCCGTAACCCAGGCGCTGGGGAGGGCTGGGGCGGCCGAGCTCCACAGTGAAACCGGCTCAAAAAACAAAAGCAAAAGAACCCCTCTCAGGAGACCAGACCCTGTGTGGGCTGCCCGGACTGCCGTGTGGAGTTCGTCGGCTCAGGTCACTGCACCGTCCTGTGCAGGGATGCAGTGGGGAGAAAAGATAGCATGAGTTAAAGGGGACCAAAATGTGTATGTGCGTGTGTGTGTGCGCGCGTGTGTGTGTGTGAGAGAGGATTGGACATGGGGAGCACTGAGCTATGCTCTCTAGCCCTTTGATTTCAGACAAGGTCTTGCTAAGTTTCCCAGACTGGGCTCAAATTTGTGATCCTCCTGCCTCAGCCTCCCAGAGTGCTGTGCTACAGGTGGTGTCACCATGCTGTGCTGGCCTGTGAAATGGTATGATCGCATCACCTAGTCAAGGTTCCTGGACTTCGGCTTCCACGCAGAGAACAGGAAGCAAATGGGCATTTCACAAGGGTCCTTCGCAGGCTCCTGTGGCTGGAGCTGGCTGGGTCCAGACTCTGCAGGATTAGCTGTGGCTGACTTCACTCATTCCCACTGAATACAAGACAGGCCCCACCAGCCCCAGCCAGCCCGCCAGGGAGGGCCGAGGAGCCCCAGTACAGCTCCTGAGCACCTAGTGCCCAGGTCCTTCAGCAAACCAGGACACCAACAGTTCTGATGACTCAACCTGCTCAGAAGGCAAGGATCACCAGGGCACGTGAAAAAAAAGCACAGCAAAGTTGTAACTTACATAATAGCACTCGGAGAGCCTCTGCCTTCAGAAAACAAAGCAAAAGCAAGAACAGTAAAAACAGTGGGTGCCACACATCTGCAATCCCAGCAACTCCGGGAGGCTGAAGCAGAAGGATTGAAAGTTTGACCTCAGCCTGGAATTTTTTCTTTCTTTTTTTTTTAGCCTGGACAATTTTGCAACTCAAAAGAAAGCCATCTCAAGAAAAGGGGCTGGGGAAGAAAAAAGGACTGGAATATTTCCAAAACTGGTAGTACAGATTTAATGCAAGCTCAATCAAAATACCAACAGCAGACTTCACAGAACTTCACAGGAGAAAACAATCCTAAAATTCATTTGGAACCAGAGGAGACCTAGAATAGCAAAAGCAATTCTGAAGCCCATTGTGGTGGTGCATGCCTGTAATCCCAGCACTTGGGAGGCTGAGGCAGGAGGATCGCTGTGAGTTCAAGGCCAGCCTGGGCTATATAAGTGAGTTCAAGGCCAGCCTGAACTGTACAATGAGACCCTGTCTCAAAAACAAACAAAAAACCCCACAAAAAATACAAGTGATTCCGAGCAGGAAGGGCAAGGCAGGTGGCATCACAATCCCCAATTTGAAATTATACTACAAAGCTAACATGAGAAAAACAGCATGGTACTGGCAAAGAAACAGACCTGAGGATCAGTGGACCAGAACAGATGGTGCAGAAACAATTCCAAACATACTCAGCCATCTTAATCTTTGACAAAGGGCCAAAGATCGTCACGGGACAAAAGACAGCCACTTTAATAAATGGTGCTGGGATCCACATCGCTTACCATGCACTAAGCTAAAATTGAATCAAAGATCTAGATATAAAAACAGAAACAATCTGCTGGAAGATAGAGTAGGTAAAACTCTCAAAAACATAGGAGTAGGCAAATATTTTATGAACAAAACCCTGACCGCACAGGAAATACTACAAAGAATCAACAGCTGGGATCACATCAAATTAAAAAGCTGCTGCACAGTGAAAGAAACCACCAACAGAATGAAGAAACAACCCACAGAATGGAAAAAAATTTTACCAGTTACTCCTGAGACAAAGGACTAACATCTAGAATATGTAAAGAAAAAAAAGCACAGCCCCCCCCACCAGATTTAAAGACCCAATCAAAAAATGGGCATCTGAAATGAATAGGCCCTTCTCAGATGAAGCAGTACAAACAGCAAATAAAATACATAAAAAATGTTCAGCTTCATTGGTCATTTAAGAAATGCAAATTAAAGCAACACTGAGGTTCCATCTCCAGAAAGAACGGCTGTCATCAAGAAATCAACCAGTAGGGCTGGGGATACAGCTCAGCAGCACAGTGCCCGCCTGGTAAGCACAGGGCCCTGAGTTTGATTCCCAGTGCCCGCCTCCCCCCAAAAAAGTCATTAACAAATGATGTTGAGGTTGTTGGGGAAAAGGAACCCTTCTCTATTGCTGGTGGGAGTGTGAATTGGTACAACCATTACACAGAAATCAGTATGGAGATTCCTCAAAAAAATCAAAAAAACAAAAAACCCCCTAAAACTAGAGGTTCAGTTTGACCCAGCTGTCCCTCTTCTAGGTATCTTCCTGAAAGGGTTAAAAGCATCACACCGCAGCAGTACGTGCACACCCACTTTTACAGCAGCTCAGTTTATAAACAGCTGAACCTTTCAAACAGCCGGTACGGCCGTCATCAGATGAGTGGATGAAGAAAATGTGTTTATATACAGTGGGGTAGTACTGTACCGTGAGGAAGGCTTGAGTCATTTTTAGGTAAGTGGATGCATTTCAAGACCAAAATGGTAAGTGAAATACATCACACACAGGTTTAAACATAACACTGTTTTTCTTGTATGAGAAACCCAAAGGGCGAATAGGGACACAACGGAGGCTCTCCGGAGGCGGGAAGAACATGTTCACGTGGGAAGGGGGACAAGGGACGGGGGAGGGGGAACAGAAGGAAGGAAAAAGGGATTTAGAAAAAAAATGGAAGGCGAAAATGGAAACAAAGCTTTTGTAAATGGGGAAGGGAATGGGAAAAAAGAATTAAGATATCATGTACAAGTACAAATCCCTACCACGAATGCGATCATTATGTATGGCAAATATGTACTAATCAAAATTTAAAAAAAGAAAAAGGGCCAGGTGTGGTGGCACACAACAGTAATCCCAGCACTTGGGAGGCTGAGGCAGGAGGAACACCGTGAGTTCAAGGCCATCCTGGGCCACATAATGAGTTCAAAACCAGCCTGAACTGCATAGCTAGACCCTGTCTCAAAA